AGGGAGCTACATGGGCAACACTTTTTCCTGGTGTTGGCTGCTTCATTGGCTGTGGCCATTCCTGGACAGTGTGCTGGGCCCAGGGGTAACCCATGTAACACGGTCCAGGTCTGGTCCAGAATCCAAAGGTTCCGCTGGGAGTCAGTCCGACAGGGCCGAGGCAGGACACGAGGCAGGAAACCAGGCAAGGACAGACACAGGATCTCAGGCAGGATCTGGCATACAGCAATGTTGCTCCTGCAACCTGGGGCAGGGTCCGACAGCCTTTTATCTTTGTCGGGGTAGTGGCCGGTCCTGATCCCCCAGCAACTCACCTCCCTCTTTCGCCCAGAGGCAAGCACGCCTCCTGCGAGTACTCAGGTCTCTCCTTCTCTCAGACCTCAGACTCTGCAGCTCGTGAGACGTCAGTGGGTTACTAGACCCAGGGGCTGCCTTAGCCTCCCCTGACCCAACCGGTAGTGGAGCAGCTGTAAGTGATGGCCCAGCTGGAGGCAACGAGGTCATCCCCGCATCTGGAGCCAGGGCAGGCTCAGGCCCCTGACTCGGCCCAGCTGGTGTTTGCTGCAGGGGAACCTGTGCAGACTGAGACTCTTCAGGATCAGGCCCCAGACTTGGTTCAGGTGATGCTTGGGGCAAAGGATCTGGTGCAGAATGAGTCTCCTCTGGTTCTGAGTCCGAGCCTGAGTCCCAGACCATCACAGACAGGAAGACTCTGGCTACAGTGGTATCCCAGTTGAATTACTGCCATGCTTTGTTTCTCAGACTTTGACTTGACTGTGGCTGATCTTCGACCTGAGGTCATTGCAAGGACAAATGGCTCAAACTACCCCAAGTGACCTGGATGTGCTGGGACTGGACAGAGCCTCTCCGACTCCTGGGCCTGGAGAAGGGTCTAAGAGAAGCTCCCAGGCCCCGAGGGTTTGGTCTGCCAGAGCTACAGGACAGCCTAGCGCACTGATTGTGCCATGCCTTGTTTCCCAACACGCCACATTTTCTCATTCTAGTTTGTTTTCATCTCCCATATTGCCAACTCGAGCTGCAAAAGCTTCAGACATCTGCTTGCCAAGAGACGTCTTCATGAAATGTAGCATAAGATCAGCTGGTTCTGGTGAGGACAGTTCTAGCAGGGAGAGGAGGGGAAATGGCTTTAATAAAAACCGGGGAAACTACAGATGGCATTGGGGGGGGGGGTGAGAGAGAGATTCATGCACGCTTAGTTAGCTCTAGCAGACGGTAAAGGTAGAATCATAGAATAGAATCATAGAGTTGGAAGAGACCACAAGGGCCATCGAGTCCAACCCCCTGCCAAGCAGGAAACACCATCAGAGCACTCCTGACATATGGTTGTCAAGCCTCTGCTTAAAGACCTCCAAAGAAGGAGACTCCACCACACTCCTTGGCAGCAAATTCCACTGTCAAACAGCTCTTACTGTCAGGAAGTTCTTCCTAATGTTTAGGTGGAATCTTCTTTCTTGTAGTTTGGATCCATTGCTCCGTGTCCGCTTCTCTGGAGCAGCAGAAAACAGCCTTTCTCCCTCCTCTATGTGACATCCTTTTATATATTTGAACATGGCTATCATATCACCCCTCAACCTCCTCTTCTCCAGGTGGATCTGGGGAGGAGGGTAGGTCTGATCTACAATGCTAGAAAACATCAATTTCAATACCGATGGTTTCAAACATTTTAAGGGGACTTCAGACGTCCTTTTCATGATTTTTGTGTGTGCTCATGATGCTATCAGGGCAGTCATGAGTCCCCATATGCACCATCCACACCTGGTCTGGAAGTCACCAGGTTAGGGAAGACCCACATTCTAATTCCTCTGTTGGGTTGAATCAATATATATGTGTGAGTGTGTGTGTGATATCTGTCTGTCTGTCTGTCTGTCTGTCTGTCTGTCTGTCTGTCTGTCTATGCAGACACACACAGAGAGATTCATTTCAGTTCCCTTGTTTCTACATTAAAAAAATATGTCTGCAATGATTTCTTTCCTTTCGGCCCCTCTCCTTATTGCCTCCCACCCCCAGCCACTGGATTTCCTGAGCCCCAAGAGGACAGAAATATTAAAACCTGCTCTGAGCCCAGGCTGCAGAGCCGGATTTAAAATCAAATAAGCAAGCAGGCAGCCTCCTTCTGCCTCCTAGTGCTCACACTGAAGAATGCAGGGAGACACGACAAGGACGCAAGTCGGTGCCCGGCTGCTGCTTCTCGCTTGAAATCGTTCATGGGATATTTGTGTTTTACGATGGAGCAGCGTTGAAACCTTTGATTGCTAGTCAATTGGAATTCTGTCTCGATTTAGAGGATTCACGGGGAAACTCCGGCATAGAACTGCTCAGTTAGATCTAGAACAGACATAGGCAAACTCTGGCCCTCCAGATGTTTGGGACTACAATTCCCATCATCCCTAGCTAACAGGACCAGTGGTTAAGGGATGATGAGAATTGTAGTCCCAAACATCTGGAGGGCAGGAGTTTGCCTATGCCTGATCTAGAAGTTCATTTATATCTCCTGCGTCCTGAATCGAGACGACTTGGGAATCAAGGGGGGAGAGGAGGAAAGGGCTGTTTCCCCTGGGTCATGCCTGAGAGCTTCCTGGGGTGCCTGGTTGGTAACAGGGCATTGGATTTGAAGGACCTTTGGGTGCTAGTAGGATTTCATCTGGCTGTGCAAGTTTGGGCAGCCCTGTCCTCCACTCACTGAAACTTTTGAGTAGCCTTCAAGGGCAGTTTCTGATTTGATCCCCGGAATGTACCACTTTTCCTTACGATGTCCCTATTTTCATTGGAGAAATGTTGGAGAGCATGGAGTTGTCCACCCCTGAGCCATCTGAAGGCAACCCTGTCTAGGAAGGTTGTTTTTTTAATGTTTTATGTTTTATTATGTTTTTATATATGTTAGAAGCTACCCAGAATGGCTGGGGCAACCCACGAAGGTGGGTTGTTTACTACAGTATTAGGAAATAAACAGCTATCTGACTTTTAGATGACAGCTGAAGGCAGCCCTGTATTGGGAAGTTTTTAATGTTAGTATGCTCTGATATATGCTGCGAGCTGCCCAGAGTGGCTGGGGAAAACCCAACCAGATGGGTGGGGTATAAATAATAAAATTGTTGTTGTTAAAATTATCGTTATGGAACGGGATGTCCCTGTTTTCATTGGATAAATGTTGGCGGGTTGTAGTGTCCTTGCTGACGCATTGTAAACCACGTGGGGCGGATGGCGTTTGACACGCCCCGGTTAAGTATTCCCCCCCCACATCTGTTCTGTGCAGGCAAGGAACAGAATCCTAAAAGCAGCTACGCCTGGCCTGCTACTCCCATCTTGCAAAAACCTAGCAGAACTAAGGAGCAACGCATGAGACAGCGATGACGCTTCACACCTTCTAATTACTTCTACACCACAAACTGTTGCAGAAGCAGCACTAAGCAGGCAAGACACCTTTCTGCCCGTCTGAAGCTTTAAAACGGTGCATTATTTTTGGAACTGGGACTTTTACCTGTAGCAGCGCATTCAGAAAGTGTAGAAGCAGGGGGCGTCCTATGGAAGCAGGCTAAATAATGTGACTAAATCAGATCCTGCCATGTGTTGCAATAGATTTATAAAACACAGGGGGTTGAACTACACCAGGGGTCAGCAACCTTTTTCAGCCGTGGGCCGGTCCACTGTCCCTCAGAGCTTGGGGGGCGGCGGACTATATTTTGGAAAAAAAAATATGGATGAATTCCTATGTCTCACAAATAACCCAGAGATGCGTTTTAAATACAGTGGTGCCTCGCAAGACGAAATTAATTCGTTCCACGAGTTTTGTCGCCTTGCGATTTTTTTCGTCTTGCGAAGCACGGTGTCAGGAAAGTTTTGGAAAAGCTTCAAAAATCACCAAAGTCTTCAAAAACCTCAAAAAAGGCTACCACACCGCGTTCTATGAGTTGCTCCTCGAAGTCAAGTCACAACTGGAAGGACAGATCGTGAAGCTGAGGCTCCAATACTTTGGCCACCTCATGAGAAGAGAAGACTCCCTGGAAAAGACCCTGATGTTGGGAAAGATGGAGGGCACAAGGAGAAGGGGATGACAGAGGACAAGATGGTTGGATAGTGTCTTCGAAGCTACCAGCATGAGTTTGACCAAACTGTGGGAGGCAGTGGAAGACAGAAGTGCCTGGCGTGCTCTGGTCCATGGGGTCATGAAGAGTCGGACACGACTAAACGACTAAACAACAACTCCTCTTTTTATTTTGAATTACATATGGGAGTGGGGAGCACCCTCATTGTCTCAGTGCTTGGAGTCTCTCAGATGCCCATCCAGTCCTGGCACTGAAGGAACGCTCAGCTGGCAGCCATCCAGTGCAGTTGCTACAACTGCGCAGCCCAACTTCTTGTGGTCTTCCTCAGCCTTTGCAAATGGCGGCAGTCTTCCGGGCGCTTGGGACTACAACTCCCAACAGCCCCTCCTAATATGGCTGTGCTGGCAGGGGGCTGATGGGAGTTGTAGTCCAAAGAAAAACTGGAGGGCAGAAGGTGGCAAAAGGCTGAGCGAGGGCTTGGCAGGACCAGCGTGGACAAAATGGACTCAGCTTGCAAAGATCTGACATCTTTGTGAGAAAAGAACTCACAAGATGAGAACTGTCATTGGACAGTTCCAATTTATTTATTTTTGCTAATTTTCTTAATTACAATTCTTAGAGACCCCGAAAATGGTTAACATTATAAATTATCTCCCATTATTTTTCATTCCTTTTTTTTAAAAAAAGAAGCTCATTCTTGTTCGAATCCTTTAAAATGTTTTTCTTCTTGCTTTACCCATAAAATCAAAGATATCTTGTGCAGTGTTGCAAAATCCTCCATTTTGATTTGCCATATTTAATATTCTATATTATTTTAATGAATGTTGAAATTTTATTTGCATAGTGTATATTGTATTATGCATATTGTCTGATTTATATGATGTTAGCGGCTTTGGCCAGGGAGGGTGGGATACAAATAAAATTTTATTATTATTATTATTATTATTTATTATTATCTCGCTGAGTTTCCATTTGTCAAATCCATCAGCCCTTGCATAATCCATGATTTTTGGCAATTTGGCAGTTCGTCTTTAGCATCATCATTCACAGCAGCTGGGAAAACATTTGGGTGGAATTAATCCTCTTTTGTTTTGAAGAGTGCTTGGATTTCACGTGCCACAGAAAGGATCGCTTGGAGCCTGGCGTCCTGGTCATCCAAAAGCCAGAGGGACCTGGGGGCTTCTCCCAAAACTAAAGCGTGGTCTTTGAATCTGCCCATTTTCTACCCCTGCAGCCGGAGGGCAGAGCTCTGCAGCCCCCCTGGGGGTCTGCGTTGGGGGTGACGCTACATGGGGGTGGAGGAAATGCCGAGAGATTTCAGTGTCACTTCCACGGGGAAATGGTCACTAACAGCCAAGGCCTGGAAAAGAAAAGAAGAAACAGCGGAGTTAGGGGGAAGAGGAGGCTGTCTTGGGGGGGTGGGCCACGCAGAATCAGAGAGTTGGAAGGAACCCCAGCGGTCATCTAGTCCAACCCTCTGCGACACAGGAGTCATGGTCAAAGCATTCCTGAGAGAGGGCAATCTAGCCTCTGCTTAAAAACCTCCAAGGAAGGAGAGTTCACCACCGTCCAAGGGAGTCCGTTCCACTGCTGAACGGCTCTTACTATCAGAAAGTTTCTCCTGATGTTGAGTCGGAATCTCCTTTCTAGTAACTTGAAGCCATGGGTTCGAGTCCTGCCCTCCAGAGCAGGAGAAAACAAGCATGCTCCGTCCTCCACGTGGCAGCCCTTGAGTTATTTGAAGATGGCACATCTCCTCTCCGCCTCCTCTTTTCCAACCTAAACGTGGCTGCCAGGTCAGGTCTCTGTGTCTTCTGCTCCAGGCTAAACATCCCCAACTCCCTGAACATTCCCTGTTGTTTGGGGTGAATTCGTTTCTTCTAATGCACACACACCTCTCGACTGCCCTGTTTCAAATGCGACATCCCTAGAAGAGCAGAAGCCAAACCCGGCTTCTGGTTGGATCCTGGAATGTCCTGTTTTTTTGGTCCAGCACTCTGCTGCAAGTCCTTGTGCCAGAGCGCAGGGCCAGCAACACTCCTTTTTTAGTCTGGCACTCTGGCGTGTGTCAGTCGAGTTGTGCCCAAGCACTGGAAGGAAAGTCGCTCATTTTGGGGGACTCATGACGGTGGAAAAGACTCCCTTGCAAGGTGGGGGGGCTCTCCCTCACTGGAGGTTTTCAAGCAGAAGCTGGATGGTCATCTGTCATGGCTGGTTTAGCTGAGATTCCTGCACTGCAGTGGGTTAGAGCAGGCTACCTCAACCTTGGGCCTCCAGATGTTTTGAGACTACAGCTCCCATCATTCCTGGCCACTGGTCCTGCTAGCTAGGGATCATGGGAGTTGTAGGCCAAAAACATCTGGAGGCCCAAGGTTGAGGAAGCCTGGGTTAGAGTACAGAATCCTTGGGGGTCTCTTCCAGCTCGAAGATTAAATGATTCTAAGACCAGAGCTCCCCATGCCCAGCCTGGTCGGCAGTCACCATCCATCCCTCCCCACCCCACCCCACCCCACCCCGGGAAACCTGTGAGACTTTTGAAACAGCTGCTCACGTCCTTCTGTTGCAGGCTGAAGGTCCGCTGGAAGTTGTTGACTTTGGCTGAGCCAGGCAGGATGCCACTTTTGAGTCTGGGGCCAACCGCCACAATCCTGCAAGGCACCACAAGGGCACAGTTACATTTGGGAACCTGCTCCACAGGATGCGAGGGCAGCCCCCACCCCCACCCCACCCTTAAAGGTAAATGGACCCCTGACCATTAGATCCAGTCACAGATGACTCTGGGGTTGCGGCGCTCATCTCGCTTTATTGGCTGAAGGAGCCGGCGTACAGCTTCCGGGTCATGTGGCCAGCATGACTAAGCTGCTTCTGGTGAACCAGAGCAGCGCACGGAAACGCCGTTTACCTTCCCGCCGGAGCGGTACCTACTTATCTACTTGCACTTTGACATGCTTTCAAACTGCTAGGTTGGCAGGAGCAGGGACCGAGCAACGGGAGCTCACCCCGTCGCGGGGATTCGAACCGCCGACCTTCTGATCGGCAAGTCCTAGGCTCTGTGGCTTAACCCACAGCACCATCCATGTCTGACTTTAAAATGGGTCTGAGCCATCAAGGCTGCCCATCTCCCTCGTTAATAATATCTAGATACCGCTTCATAGACAAAAATCCCTAAGCGGTTTATAGAAAACACAGTCAAATAACCTTTGAAAAGCAAAAAACGAAATGTATAGACAAAACAGAAGACCAAATTACAAACAACAATAACATAGGGAAGCCATCAATAAAACTTTCAGTTAAAAAGGTAAAGGACCCCTGACAGTTAAGTCCAGTCGCGGACGACTCTGGGGTTGCAGCGCTCATCTCGCTTTACTGGCCGAGGGAGCCGACATTTGTCCACAGACAGTTCTTCTGGGCCAGCATGACTAAGCTGCTTCTGGCGAACCAGAGCAGCGCACGGAAACGCCGTTTACCTTCCCGCCGGAGCAGTACCTATTTATCTACTTGCACTGGCGTGCTTTTGAACTGCTAGGTTGGCAGGAGCTGGGACCGAGCAACGGGCGCTCACCCCATCGCGGGGATTTGAACTGCCGAGCTTCTGATCGGCAAGCCCAAGAGGCTCAGTGATTTAGACCACAACGCCACCTGCGTTAATTTCAGTTAAATATCAGCAAATAATAAAAAAAAACAATGGGATGAATCTGATTGTTGTCGGCGTCCTCCTGTCTCGAGAGACAATGGAGTATGCCTCCGGGGGTGAAGTCGGAAGAGTATGAGACAGTTAATCTCAGGGTTGTGGGTTCAAATTGGGCAAAAGATTCCTGCATTGGAGGAGGTTGGAACAGATGACCCTGGTGGTCCCTTCCATCTCTATGATTCTATGAGAATCACAGTGCCTGCTGTGGCTGCAGAGACCAGTAACTCAATACTGCTGCGTTGTTTTTGCAGTCCCAAAATGGCTCTGAGGGGTGGGGGGGGGGAGAGAGAGAAAGAGCCTCCGGGACCTGGCCTCCTGCCACTCACCTGTCGTAGGCACAGTGGGTGCTGGTCACTGTGGTGTCTGCTGTGTCTGGGATGAGCCACTGGAAGGCGCTGTTGGTGCGCAGGCGGATACGGGGCCAGTCCTCAGGCCGGACGTAGGAGCAGCCAGCATTGAAGTCTCCCAGGAACAGCATGTCCTGCCAGGAGGAAGAAACAAGCTCAGGAGGTGGTTATGGACCCCAGGAAAGACACTGCTCAGAGCTGAAGCTGACCCTTGGGCAAATACACACACGCATGCCCAATATGAACTGGCCCAGACCCTGCAATCATAATCTGAGGCCCGTCTCTATGCGCCCCTCTCTACGAAAGGTCTGGAGGGTTGGCAACGTAAGAGCAGGCCTTCTCTGTGGTGGCTCCTTGTTGGTGCAATGCTCTCCCCAGGGTATTATACACCAGTAAGGTTATATCATCTTACAAAATCTGGAAGTAAGAATTGCTGGAGGAAATGTGGAGTGATGGGAACGTACAGTCATATGTGCTGGGATTGTCCATTGGTTAATGAATTTTGGAAACAGATTGGTATAGAAATATTGGGAATTGTGGGAAGGAACGTGGAAATAACTAAATTAATGGTTCTTATTACCCTGAGTAGTACGGAGTTAAAAACAAAAGAGGAATGCAAATGGGTAAAGTTGATGGTAATTGCAGCCAGAAAGGTTATAGCGAGTAACTGGAAAAATGCAGAAGAGTTAGGGGTGAACCAATGGAGGAAAAAACTGAATAATATTATAATTTTAGAATACCTAACTGTGAAGATACATAGAATGAAAGGGTTTAAGGCCAGTGTGAAAGAGGAGGATTGGTTTGAGAAGATATTGAATTATTTGAGTAGGTTTGAACAATTTGGGGCAATTAAAATGTTAAAAGTTAAATAAATCTTGTGGAAGGAGGAGTGTTAAGGTATATAGAAGTGTACATGTGGTTGATTTGAATATGTTATTATTGAATATGATTGAATGTGTATATTATTGAATATGCATATTATTGAATATTGTATACCCAATGTATCAGCTGCCTGGTGGGTTTCACTGTTTGTGTTTTGGTGGTTGGTAAAAAATAAAATTTAAAAAAATATTTTTTAAAAAAAATACTCTCCCCAGGGAGGCTTGCCTGAAATGTCTTTAGGCACCGGGCAAAAACATTCCTCTACTCCCAGGCCTTTGGCTAATTAAACCATTTACGGTGGACAGTTCATTACTCTTATGTGTTTGTGTGCTGCCAACACACAAAAAAAATATTATTATTACACACACATATCCATGTCCGTCTGTCATGCAGGCCTTAGTTGAGATTTCTGCATTGCAGGCAAGGATCCTTCCAAGTGTACAGCTCTATGATTCTATTATTCCTTGATACACTCACACACACATAATTAATTGCTTGCCACCCCAATCTCTGAGTGGTGCGAGATCCCAGGGGTTCCAGGTGCTCTCCCAGGGCCCATGGGAATGAGGCACAGCGCAGCCTGTGGTTTCTTTATGATATATGGCTTATTTACATATAAAAACCACACCTGAGCCTACAACGGAGGGGTTCGCAGCATTAACATCTCAAGGGGGTCTTGTTTCTCCCATAGCCGCCCACAGACATCAGCCGCCGTGCTCTGACCCTCTCTCCAGCCTGCTGCCTTTACCAGACTGCAACCTTTTTCCTCCAGGTCACATCCCAGCCAATTCTAAAACTCTAAGCCCCAGCTTTTGTCGTTTTCACTAACTATCTACGTAATTGCTGGAGGAAGGGGCCCACCCACCTGCCCACTTGCTGTCTGGGACAGAGCCTTCCTTTTCCTCTCCCAGGCTTACGTTTTAACATTTCCCTTGATTAAATTCTAACTCCTACTGGACTGAGGAACTTAGGGGAGTCTGGTACCATGGGAGCCAACTCCTAGGGGCCGAGGTACCTCTGACACCCCCCCAATACAATATTTGAGGGGGCCAAGTGGGGGCCAAGTTGGTGGTTGTTGTTTTTGTAAGCAGCCAAAAAATGTCATCATTTATTAATAACTGGAGAAACTTTATAATTAGAACACAACCTAAACTGTACATTTTACAATCACATTCTATTTGTAAACAGTTAAAAGCCACTGGCGAATTTTGCATCTCCAGACACAACAGCTAGAATCAAGGCAATGAAATGAGAGCGTCTTTCAGGGCAGTTTTTAAAAAATTGGTTCCTTTTTTTTTTAATCCTTGTTTAGGCTTTCATCCTCAAACTAAACAAGCTTCAGGCGGGAGAGGGCAAAGTTGATGGGCATTGCCATTCATATGGTGTGTGTGCGCCATGTCATGTGATCATTTATGTGGGGCAGGGCTTATTCAAGTTGGCACCCCTGTCTGCTACCCACAAAATCTTATACCGCATTTTTCGCTCCATAAGACCCACCTAGTTTTTAGAGCTCTCCTCCCAAGGAGGCTGTGATTCAGAATATTTTTTTTTCTTGTTTTCCTCCTCTAAAAATTAGGTGTGTATGCAAAGGAGAGGCAGCAGCGAAGGGGAGAAATTGCAGACGTTGCCTGAGGAGTTTGGGCGAAAGGGACGGAGAGGAGGAGGCTGGAAAAGGGGCCTGTGCTGTTTGAGGAGGGGGAGAAAAAAGTGGGGAGAAGGAAAGCCTTCCAAGCCTCCGTGGGGATCGCTCTCCTCCTGAGGAGGCTGTGATTCATAATATATTTATTTCTTGTTTCCCTCCTCTAAAGGCTAGGTGTGTCTTATGGTCAGGTGCATCTTATGGAGCAACAAATGAGGTATGCGGTTTTGTGGACCACCTCCCACCCTCAGGACATTGGTGGCTCCTTAAAGATGAGCAAATCATCTCCGTCCCTTTCGCCCAAACTCCTCAGGCAACGCCTGCAATTTCTCCTTTTCGCTGCTGCCTCTCCTTTGCCCTCTCCCGTGACTCTCCACTTGCGGCAACCTGCCTCCTCTCCCTTCGCCCCGCTTCTCGGTCCCCCTCCTCTCCATCCTCTTCCTCTCCTCTCTCGGCAGCTGCCTCTTCTCGCCATCCTCCACCCAACATCCCCGGAGCCATCAGGGGAAAGGGGAGGCCGTTGCCAAAGCCCCTCTCAAAGAGAGCAGCCTGGGAGCACCAGGCAACGTCACACAGCCTGCCTGCCGCTCCCAAACCTTCCCGGGGCTTCAGGGGGAAGGGGAGGCTGCCGGCAACCCGGGAGGGCAGGGCAACGGCGTGCGCCGCACTCGGGTGATTTGGCTCCAGGGACCACACATTCGCTCCATAAGACGCACAGACATTTCCCCTTGCTTTTTAGGAGGAAAAAAGTGCGTCTTATGGAGCGAAAAATACGGTACATATAAGTGGGACTGGGGTCTAATCTCCACAATGCCCCCGATATTTCTCAAGCAACCACCGGTGGCAAACAAAAGTCACCACTTTGGGGGGGGCACTTACATCTGTCCCCCACTTGTCTCTCACATCCAGGAAAACGTCGTAGAGGGCGTCTATCTCGGCCACTGCTTCTTCGGGAGCAGCATGCAGAGGCACCAGGATCAGTTCCCCCACCTCTGAGGGAGAAGTCGCAGTTAAGAACATCCAAAGGGCATCGGCTGGGTCAGACCCACGGCCCACCCCCTCCAGCATCCCGTTCACCCAGAGGCCAACCAGACACACACACACACACACACACACACACACACGGAAACTAGCAAGCAGGATTCGAGCACCAAAACCCTGCCCCATGGTTTCCAGCAATCGGGATTCATAAGCATTGCTGCCTCCAGCTGGGGACACAGAGTATGGCCTCTCTCCCCCCCCCCCGCCTTCTCCTCCCTTCCCCTGGCTGTGCCAGAGCTCTTGCCCCTGTTGTAAGAAACTTTAAGGTCTTAGATGTATAATAAATGTTCATAAATGTACACTCCAAGCACGTACATAGATCAGCACAGGAAGACCAACCTGAAACCATTTTGACTCCCAAACTGACCAAATGTTTTATCTGCAAGGAGGGAGGGGGTCAGGGAGCCTTCCCATTGTCTCAGGAATTGAGTAATCACCATCTCAAAGGGTGACAGACTACCAGGAAAGGCAATCAGATAAGGCATTATCAGATAACCTGGCAGACAGGAAAAACATCAACATTCAAATTTCTGTTGTAGACCACCTTTTCTGTGATGTAGATATGATTTTTGTGGGGGGTGGTCTTGGGTTACATCCCTTCTGGCATGTATGTATGATGTTTCTGGGGGTGGTCTTGATCTACAGGGTGGCAATTTTAAAAGTCTATATAGAAGCTTGCACACCATAGTTCTGGGTTCCTTCTCCCTCCTGCGTGTGGTGAGTGAGGACCCTGTTGCAACAGATTAATAAAGATCAGGCTAACGAGCTGCTTTGCTTCTCAACAGTGGCGTAGCATGGGGGGTGCAGGGGGGGCCGGCCGCACCGGGCGCAACATCTGGGGTTAGGGCAAATCCACAGGTTAGGGGGCGCAAATCCACGGGTTAGGGGTTGCATCCACAAGTTGGGGCCATTACTTCCTGCCGTTGGCCTCTGTTATATTCTCCTACCAATAGGGAACTCCATATGGGCTCTATATGGGCTCTTGGATACCCCATAAGGGGAAAAGGGCAGATTTTTATTGTTTACAACACCCCAAAGCCACGATCCGAGTGTGGGATGTAATCCACTGAGAGCAGTCAAATGCAACATTCCTTGTTTTCCTAGAGTGGACATGCAAGGGGATGTTTGGTCCAGCCAGTCGAAACTTCCTGTTCCACCTGGCCTGAAGCATCCTTCTTTGCATGTGACTAGTGAGTGGGCATGACCTTTCCAGACCTGGGAAAAGGCCAAGGCATGCTGCTACTCTCTCTCTTTTCCATCTTCTTTTCGTCCTGCAAACTTCCTGGAATGAACTGCTGGCTGCCAGCCAAGCAGTCCCCCAGGTCATCTCCATTATGGGATAAACCTGTTTTTATACGTTTGTAACTTTAAGCCTTAATCCTGCCTGCAGGGATCACACTGCGCTCTGCTGATCGCGAGCAAACCTTTCTTCTTATTGCTTCTTTATTGCTTTTGGACAAGCCATAAAATTATTAGCGGCGGGGGGGGGGAATTATTAGCAGGAAAATTTTTTATAATGAATGATTTTAGAGTGTTGTGTTGTGTTGTACTATTGTACTGTTAATAATAATAATAATAATTTATTATTTGTACCCCACCCATCTGGCTGGGTTTCCCCAGCCACTCTGGGCGGCTTCCAACACAGATGAAAGATACACTAAAATGTCACATATTAAAAACTTCCCTGAACAGAGCTGCCTTCAGATGTCTTCTGAATGTCAGGTAGATGTTTATCGCTTTGACATCTGATGGGAGGGCGTTCCACAGGGCGGGCGCCACTACCGAGAAGGTAACAATATGTTTTATTGTTGTTAGCCGTCCTGAGCCCGGTCTTGACTGGGGAGGGCAGGATATAAATAAAATTTATTATTATTATTAAAGCGTTCAAAAAACCAAGAGCACCAATAAACTAAAAACACATTAGCATGCTGGATATCTTGGCAGACTTGCCAAGAACATAAAGTCCCAACCAGAGAAGAATGGTAGATCAAGTTGATGGATTATGCCAAAATAGCAAAAATTACCAGAACAATCAAAAATCAGGAAGACCAAATTTTTAACAAAGAATGGGGAAATTTTATAATTTATCTTAAAAACCATTGTAAACAGTTAAAATTGTTAGTAGGATTGGAATAACACTTGTAGTTTAATGGTGAATTTTGGATATAATGGAGATGTGAAAGATTTGGATTATTATAAAAGATGCTTTTATAATGATTAATAATAGGACCCACAAAAAGAAGGTGGGAAGTCCGGGAGATTCTATGGAATCTTGTCTATAAGTTGTATGTTGGATATGTGATTGTAAAACTGTAATTTGCAAAACCAAATAAATAAATTTTTAAAAAACAAAAAAAGTTTTCAGCAGGTGCTGAAAAGAGTGCAGCGAAGCCGCCTGCCTGATATCAAGAGGCAAGGAGTTCCAAAGGGTAGATTCCACCTCACTGAAAGACTGATTTCTCGCAGATGCGGAAGGAGCGTTATGTGGCAGGGCCAGTTTCTCCTCTCCCTGGGCTGCCCTGTTGGCTGCATCAGCTGAGAGGGGGAGGCGGGGGCTGCTTACGTGTCTGAGGTGCCGCAAATTTCACAATGAAGGGCTCCCGACTGAAGGTGTCGTTCCCGCAGGGCTCACAGCCGTCGTCATAATAGTAGCTGTCCAGGAGAATGACGTTGTCCTCCCTGTGTGGAGAGAAGGAGGAGGAGAGAGGCAGGGCCTTGCTTGGGTCCCTTGCAAGTGATGGGTCAGAGACTGTGGCCACCAAAGGGAGAAGGTGACAGTTTGCAACAGTCTGGGAGAGGCACCCTGGGCATCTCCACGTCCTGGGAGACTTCTGCCACCTTAAGGGCAAACAAATACACCATGGCACAAGAGTTCACCCATTACAGCAGCTAACGGGGGTGGGAAGTGAAACATAATAATAATAATAATAATAATAATAATAATAATAATAATAATAATAATAATAATAATAATATCTTTATTGTCATTGCCCCCTCTCGGGGACAACGAAATTACTTGACTGCTCCATAAATGGTGGGCTGGGAAGTCATTTTCAAATTTGTGTTAAATTAGAATTAAAGCGATGTTGAATTTGTTTAAAAAACTGAAAAGCAATAAAAATTAATTGGCAAAAAAAGAGAGATTTCACAGATTATAGTCCACTGCACCAGAGTCCTAGTTATCCCGGGTTCCTGGTACACACACAGTTGGGGCTGGAGGTGGGGGTTATTATTATTATTAATTTGTTCCCTGCCTTCACCCTAAGGTCCCAGGGTGCGTTACAACATTACAAGGCAACATCACACCAAAATGTTAGAAAACAGTTTAAAACTTTATGTTGCAGCCTCTCTTTTAAGTTCCTTTGCTCCCAGATGGGTACCAGCCAGCTGCAAAGTGTTCTGGGAGGCAAACACAAAATATGTAATTACAGTGCAATTACACCTTATGCGGGGATTCCGTTCCATGGGTTCCGCATATATGCAAAGTGTGCATATTCAAACCCTTGGAAGCATCCTCATGTGAGCGCCCTGTGGCTTCTGGAGGCGGCACGTGAGAGTTTCTCACCCCACCCTTGCCAAGCGAGGCAGAGAGCTCAAAAGTTATTTTTCCACAGGGAAAGCCCGGTACGGAAATAACTTTTGAGCTCTCTTCCTTGCTTGCATTTAACGTGTGGGATTTAAACCAGACGGCCTTCAAGCGTGTATGGTTGAAAACGTGTGAGTTAAATGTGCGTTAATAGCCATCGTGCTTTGTAACTGCCTGTATTTTCCTGCACTGCCTTTCCTTATCTTTACAGTTCCTCATCACCAGCAATGTAAAGCTATCTACCTGCCACTCAGGACCCCACGTCCTGCATCTGATGCAAGTTTCCGCCATAACACTTGTTGTTGTTAAGGTGCTGCACAGGACTGTTTTGCTGCTAAAGAGTCACATGGCTGCTGTTAAGTTGTGGGTGAATATATCAGACGACACAGCGATTCTTCAAACAGCTCTTGTTTATTCACAGGCCAGGACAGAACTGAACTGAAGGGTTCAGCCAGCCTGCTTATATAGAGCTCCACTACAATTCAACTGTAACACTTTCTGTAACTATCCAATCACTGAACGTCACTTTCAATCCCTTATTTGCATATGTGGACCTGAGTGAAAACTATCTACAGTATCCCCCTGCTGGCCCAGGGTGGGAACTTCAGTACATAACAGTTGCTGCTGCCCCTCTGGAAATCTGCCCTCCAGTGATGCTGCCTCCCCCCCCCCCCGTTACATCCTGGGCTCTGCTTGAGGCTCTCACCTGTAAACGAAGAGGTATTGCTCCTTGTAGCTGTTGCGACCCAAAGGCTTGCTGACCACATAGCTGTATGGATGCGGTGATGCCCTAAAAGGGAAGGTTAGCAATGAAATATATTCAATTTGCCTGACTCTGGGCAAATACAGGAAGAACGGAGAAAGTGGGTTGGCAATCTGCGGTGTTGCCTCTTGCTTCAAGAGCTGCCATCTCACTCATCCCAACAGCTGCTGCAATGTTCCGCTTTTAGGGTGTGCGGTCGCTGGGGCCGAACCCAGGGCAAAATTCCTAGGGTTTTTCTCTTCCTGGAGAAAAAGGGACTTTGCCAGGACTTGTCACCCTTACCACCCTCCCAGTCTCCCCCAGTCCTGGAGTGCTTTGACCAAATAAGTTTTGATTGCACCTAAAAGCCACCCAATCTCTAGATACCCTTTTTCAAAAAAACCTCACTGGTTCAGTTGGTTCATCAGCTTTTTCACTGCGCTCAGGTCGGCATCCCGTACCTCCTGGATGAGGGTGATGTCATACAAGAACAAAATCTGTAAGGAGGCAGAGCAGAGAGAATTTCACCAGCTTCAGGACTCAGGCTTGGATGAATGTGAGGAGCTGGATGTGGAAAAAGAGAAGGTGAGCAGCGAGGAAAGGTGGGAATGTTCTGGTACGTTGTGGGTCTGTGGCGGGTCAGTCTGGATGATGCCCTGAGTCCCTTCTAGTTCTGTACCCAGTGAGGTTAAAAGCTGACAAGAGGAGTTTGATGAACTAGTTAGACCAGTTGCTTTGTAAGACAGTGGCCTTAGCACCCCAAAAAGAGTGAGCTGGATTGCAAGAGCTACAACTAAGTGATGGTGCCCTCCAGGAGGCTTCCCCCTCCCTCACCTAAATGGTAGATACAAGGTAAAAGGTGAAGGACCCCTGGACGGTTAAGTCCAGTCAAAGGTGACTATGGGGTTGTGGCGCTCATCTCGCTTTCAGGCCGAGGGAGCCGGCGTTTGTCCACAGACAGCTTTCTGGGTCATGTGGCCAGCATGACTAAACCACTTCTGTTGCAAAGGGACACAGTGACGGAAACCAGAGCGCACAGAAACGCCATTTACCTTCTCACCACAGCAGTACCTATTTATCTACTTGCACTAGCGTGCTTTCAAACTGCTAACTTGGCAGGAGCTGGGACTGAGCAATGGGAGCTCACTCCGTCTCGGGGATTCGAACTGCTGACCTTCCGATCAGCAAGCCCAAGAGGCTCAGTGGTTTAGACCACAGCGCCACCCATGCCCCTTTCAGGCTGAGGAAGCTGGTGTTTGTCAACAGACAGCTTTCCGGGTCATAGACAGAGCAACAATAGCCAGTGATGTGTGAGCAGAAAGCAGGCTGGAAGCTTGAGACACACAGACCCGTTTGCCCTGTGCTGGATCCAAAGTTGTGATTAATGGAGAAGCAAGATCTGTTGGGGTGTTAATGCTGCGATCCCCTATGCTCAGGTTGCATAAATGTGTAAATAAAACCATACAGTATGTCCTAAAGACACCACTGTCTCCGCTGGCTTTCGTTCCAAGGAAAGGGAACCCTGAATAAGTGCCTGGAGCCCCTGGATTCTTTCACTGCCAAGAGATTGGGGTGGCAAGTGATAGCTATCTTCTATGAACATAGAAAATGAGATTGTCGGGGACCATAAACCCCAGCTTAATTGCTAACAGCAAGTGCGGAAAGTTTCCAAGAGTCCATGGAGCATGTCTGCACAATGTGAAGCCGTAAAGATTGCTTCTTTGGAGGAGCTCAGCCGAAAGCGTTTGAACGAGGACCCCTGGAATAAGTGTCTCCCCTTGGAGGTCAGATGGACTCACGCTGACGATGAAGTCTGTGACGGTCTGATTGGACAGCTTGCTGTCTCCAAAGGTTCTGATGTTGAAAGCACCGACCCTCAAGCAGAGGGTGGGCTGCAGGAGGTGGGCTGCCATGCTAAGGAAGACCAGCAGAGGCAGTGATGTCATGGTCCTTCTCCTGCGCAGAGAGAGATGCAATCCTGCTGGTTAGAACCCTTGGTAGGAGGAGAAGCAGATCTCCCTTCCTTCAACTCCTGCCTTCTGCCAGAACTTTGCTGTGCCTCAAAATTCTAAATTAATTCTGGAACCGGAGTGTATGCGGTTAGCCACAGCTGCCAGTGCCTTCACAGTTCACGGAGGTCTTCCCTCTCCCCCAACACCCCATATTCCTGATATTCTGCACGCCCTACAAAAAAAGAAATCTGGGTGTGATTGTACATTCTGGTGCCACCTTAGGTCTTTCACTGTGGAGCCTTCACAACTCCAGAGCAGGTGCTCTTGCGCATCAGCAGAACGCAAACGGAATCTCGATATACCTGCCCATACATTTGCACCTCAGTTGCTTCTGCAGTGCTATGCTAAATCGCATGGGGTGTGTGCACTGATAATGATGAGGGAAGGAAAAGGCACAGATGAACAGCTGGTGCCAAACTGCACGGCCTGAGCACTCAATGAAAAATTGGGGAGGTGGGGAATTAAATGGAGGGCTCCCAGTGTGTTGGCACAGGTTTGGGAATGAGACAGACTGATGAAGATGATGGACTGTGCCAAAATGGCGAAACTGACCGGGAGAATCAGAGACCAGGACGAGAAGAAGATTAGGAGAAAATGGGGGGGGATGTATAGTTCATTTAAAAGAACATTGTAAATAGTTTAAAACTTTGGCAGGATTAGAGTAATACTTGTAAAAGACAAAATATAATGGAAAAGTTAATAATAGATACAATAAATTGGAAGAAAATGGATAAGTTGAATAAAAAGGGATGGACAAGGGAAACCAGAAAGGGGGAGGGAGGAGTCAAGGGATTCTGAGAATCCTAAATGTAGAGGTAATTGATATGTTTAAACTGAAATTTGTTATGTAAAATTTAATAAAAAATATTTCTTTATGTTTATTTTTAAAAGGGAATGAGAGTGACTGGGGAATTGGGAATGCCAAAATCCAGGGAGAAAGGCAGGTGATAAATTTGAATGCATCCTTCCTTAGACACACACAACACACACAAACCCAGGTATCTGTCAGAGGAAAACAGTTCTGTTTGCTTGGAGTGAGGCACAGAAACAAAGACAATAAACAGTGTGAGCCATTTTCATGGGGATCACAGGCAGGACATCCAAACCCCCCAACCCCCAAGTATGTCTGAAACACTAAGCTTAGAAATAGATATACCCTCCCTAGATCCTAGAATGAACACGTTCACATTGCACTATGCCACTAATCTATACCTGTTTCTTTATCACAGAGCATCTGTGGAAATGGAAGGGAAACTGCCAAAATCCAATAGAAGCAGAAACCGCAAGGTCTGGTTTCTGTGCCAACTGGCCCCCACAAGGCTGGCGAAAGAGCTTCAAGAGGCAGGAGAGTTGCTACAAATTCTGTCCCCACCAAAACTTTAGAGAGGAAACTGGGCAGGTGCAAAAGGAGGGAGCCCTGTCCGTGCCCTGGCCCTCCAACCGGACCCTGCTCTCAGCCACCCAGACCCCTCCAAGCTGGAAGCTCTTACATGTTTCCTGAAGCTTGTGGCCCCACTTCCAACCTGCTAGAGCTGACTTGGGTCTCTGCGTTCTTCCTCCAGGCACACTTCAGCGAAGGTCACCTTTTCCTGGTGAAAGACATTATTGTTTCTTGGGTGGAGGCGGGGGAAGGCTTCGGCTAATTCCTCTTTCTCCCTTTGGGTCCCTTGTGTTTTCCAGGGCACCAGAGCCACTCCTGGGCCAGGGCCATAAATTGTGAGGTGGGTGGGGCACTCGTGCTCAGAACCTTTCCTCTTTCCTTCCTTCTTTGTCCCCTCCTAATAAAGGGGTCGTAAACCCCTGTGTCAGACAGAATAGGGAGAGGCAGACGTGGTTGCGATCCAGGAAGGCAGGAAGGTCAAGACGATGCCCAAAAAATCAAGGGCTTTGCTTGCAAGCCCTGAGCCTTTTGTGCTGGACCCCACATCTTCTGCCCCCAATTTTCTTGTCACCTTACAACACACACACACACACACACACCTACCTTGTACTTTTCTCACAGGGCAGGTGGGCTATGAAGCGCTGTGCCAGTGAGCTACCCCACCCAGCCGCCCACTGACTTAATTTTCTCAGAAAACTAAATTTGCACAAACTGTAAGCAGGTGTGCGCTGTATACCCAGAGCTTTTCCCCCAAAGGACTTAGCAATGTCCCTGATGCTGGGAATGGCCGGCTCTCATCCACAGCCATGGTGTGTCCTTCTGTTGCTGTATATTATCTGCATCAAGGAAGTCTTGCCTTCGGAGAAAACTGAAATCTACGTGGATGACAGATTGCATTGGGTCTCTTTACCTTCGCCGCTCCCGATCATTTGGAGATGGTCCATGCACCCCCGCTTTCTTAAAACTCTTCACAGCCGTGACCTTGCCAGCTGTTTACTTAGTATTACATTTGTACAGGTGTATGGGAGACATATGGCCACTTTCCGAGGAGGAAAAGTAGTAGCTGGGTAGGGTGTGGGGCTCTTATTGTTGTTGTTTTTCAAAATCGCTCCTCTTGAAGCAGATAAGAGTCACAATGGAAGTTTCCACAAACGCAGCCAGCATTCCGTCTGGCTGCAGAAACATCACCCAGCTGATACTGGACTCCAAGAATAGCCCAAATAAATTGGTTTGCACTTCAAAAACTAGCATTCAAGTAGACCTGCACAAAGGTGAACGGCCCTGGAAGGGTGTGTTCAGGGAAATAAAAGCAATAATGGGACAAAATGTGATCAAATGTCCAAAGTTGGCATTACTTAACCTTTATTCGGGAGATAATACTGTTATGAATTTGGGAGTGCCAGACTCCTCTAATCCCTGGATCTAGCAAGTTTTAAAATCTAATTAAAGCTAATAAAGCCAGGGAACCAGGCTGAGGGCCTTCTTGGTAGTGATGCCCACACTGTGGAATGCCCTCCCATCAGATATCAAGGTGATGAGTAACTATACAGCCGTACCTTGGTTGTCAAATGCCTTGGTACTCATACGTTTCAGCTCCCGAACCATCGAAACCCAGAAGTGAGTGTTCTGGTTTTTTAACATTCTTTTGGAATCTGAACGTCCGACGTGGCTTCCGCTATTGTTTCCGGTGCGCCTGCACAATTGGGAGCCAGTCGGAAGCTGCGCCTTGGTTTCTGAATGTTTCAGAAGTTGAACGAACTTCCGGAACACATTCTGTTCGAAAACCAAGGTACGACTGTATAACCTTGGAAGACATCTGAAGGCAGCCCTGTATAAGGAAGCTTTTTCAGGGTTAATGTTTTATATATGTTGGAAGCCCGGTCAAGAGTGGCTGGGACAACCCAGTCAGATGGGCAGGGTACAAACAAACAACAAACAAACGTTATTTCTTCTTCCTGCGTTGGAGTGATTGCCTGGGTGATGGGCCATTAGGAGAACAAAGGATCAAGGGGGATCGGTGCGAGACCGCAAATGGGTGGCCCCCTCCCCCAACAGATAAAGTCAGGGTTCAATATCAGTTCAAGCTTCAGGGTGCCCCAGATGAAGGTCCGCCACCGGACAGGTCTGTGCTTGAAGCCCAGCTGCACAGCTGTATCAAACGCAGCAAAGTGACCCTTACCTGTGTGGAGCTTGAGCAAGCAACAGGATTCTCATGCCACGCATTGTAATGTGCAAGCAGGCTAAATGCACAGGCTTTGCCATGCTGTATGCAGAGCTTGAGTCCCTCCAACGTGGCCTGCTGCATCCAGGGCCCAGGGGCTGCCAACTTGGCACCCTCTAGAGGCCGTTGGGTTTTTTGACTACCTGCCATTCTGTGCTGCTTCACACAGAGTCAATTAAGCGTTGGCCAAAAGCTAAGATGACTGAGCAGAGAGGAGTTATTCTGCCTGGAGATATGAGACCTTGGATACAGCTCTACCATTGTGGTTGAGGTCTCACACAGGCATGATGACTTATGACCTTACTGACTGGAGTGTGTGTTGGTCAGTGTGGTGTTGTACTGTGGAGAGTGTATTAACTTATGGTCTGTGTGTGTGGTTTGGGAGCTGCACGGCCAGGGGAAAAACAATGCTGTCCAGGGTTGTAAAGACTGCAGAGAGAATAATTGAGTGCGCTCTTCCCACCTTGGATCAAATCTATACTGCCAGGTGCAGTAAGAAAGCTGCAGAGATAGCGCAGGATAGTGCGCACCCCAGAAATGATCTCTTTCAGCTTCTGCCTTCTGGAAGAAGGTATAGGGGTATAAAGACCAGGACTAGCCACCTGAGAAACAGTTTCTATCCAAATGCAATTCTGGTTTTAAATGCAGTATAAGGAGTCTCTATAGTATATTGTATTTTAAAATGGGGTTTCAGAGTTTTTAGGGGTTTTTGAAAGTCTTATGTAGATTTTTCAATTTCATTGTTCTGTATGGGACAATGACAATAAAGATATGACAATATGACAATAAAGATATCGTATTGTATCGTATCGTTCTGAGAGTTGCTTGGAGTTTGTTAAGAGAGAGCTAGTTAAGATCCGTTTCTGTTCTTGTATATAGTAACTTGTGGAAGTCTGCTGTAAATAATAAACCCCTCTAAGTAACCAAGTTACTGGTAGCAGCGTCTTGTTCCTGCTTCGTCCATCCTGCCTGCAACTGTTTGCTTTCTGGAACTCTGCGTATGTTCTGCTAAGGTCCTGCAACAGGTCAAAGTTGGTGAAACACCAATAGCTCGAGTCCCTCCAACGTGGCCTGTTTGCAAGGAGCAAAGAGCTGCCCCAGAAGTGTGCCTGGGTTTGCATCTGATTCATCCACCCCTGGTGCATCCAGGGGCTGCCAACTTGGCACCCTTCAGAGGCCGTGGGGACTCCCATCAGCCCAAGGTGGCATGGCCAACAGTCAGGGATGAAGAGAGTTGTAGTTCAGCAACAGCTGGAGGGCACCACATTGGCCACCTCTGTGACCTAGGACCCGTGCAGAAGGCTTCTTCCTAGGGCCAGCTGGGCTGTTGGCTGCAGCTCTTTATTTACATCCCTTTATCACCAAGGATTTATTCTGGCCTTGAAAGGCACCTGTGCGGCTTTTGAGCTGGCGCCACAAAGCAGGAAGGGTGGTGCTGAACGTGTCTCTGTGCCCCTGCATGCAGCAAAGGCCTGTTATTTTGGCAAGGCTGAAAGCCCAAACAGCCACAAAGGGATCCTTTGACGGACTGTACCCCCTTGAGTCAGATCTGCATCCCCCTCGTTCCTACTGCCCTGGTCAGTGCTATCATCTCTCCTCAATCTTGTGTCCTCCAAGATCAGGGTTCAAACAAGGTACCAATGATCTCCACTGGATTAATTTTTTTGGCTTCCGTCTGAGAGGCAACGGAAGGTACCTCAAACTGCTGCATTAGCAGCAGCAGTGATTTCTTGGGGGTGCAAACATGGACAGTGTGTCTAGAGGTCCTGGGCTGCCCAGATGACAAGACCCCCCCCCCCAGCCTCATTGATGTGGTCCAAAGGAAAGCAGAGGAAGACGCTTGGCACCTGCTGGGCTGCAATAGTTGGTGGAAGGAGGGATACAAGGCACCATCCAACTGTCTTAGGGACCCTGGATTTGTGAGAGACTTACTCCTTAGTCTTTCCTCCCTTCTTATCACACTGGATTATTTTACCAACGTGATAATAAGAGAGAGTAAATAAAAAGTATAGACGATCATGTTAGTCCATATGAAGAAGGGGGGAAATATTCCAAAATCCACAACTGGGCAACTCTGTTGTCACAAAATCCCAACCCAAATGCCACAAAAGAGTGACAAACTTCCAGGTTATCTCGATCTCCTCATCAGGGCAAAATGTTACAGCTCCTACCTTAAGTAATATCTAGCCTGGAGAAAAACCCTTGCCATTATTTTGAGATATCGTGGGTTGATCCAAATAAAGGGGCAGTACCGTATTGCCCAATTGTGGATTTATGGAGCAAAAACAAAGAGGCATGAAACTTTTAGGGGCCAGACAGAAGATAAAGCTCTCTGAGCCTGCTCACCCAAAGCTCATTTTGCATGACACTGAATGGGTGACGCAAAGACTACAAATGAGTGTTGCCTTTATGGAGAATATAAAACAGTGCTGAAACAGATGGGAGGTGAACAGGGAGGCTTAAAATAAAAGAATCAAACCAACAAATGAGAGATGTGGTGAAGAGAACCCTGGCCCTACATAAAAGCAACTTGTATAAGGTTACCAGACATCCCTGTTTCCCAGGGACAGTTCCTGGATTTACAAATCAGTCCCCATACAAAATCCATTGAAGTTGAAAAGTGTCCCCAGAGTCATTGAAAAAAATCTGGTAACCTTAAACTTGTAGGTTCTGCTCTGGGATGGGGAATGGCCTTCCTTTGCTTAACCCACACACACCTCATTCATCCTGCAGTGTAGCTCATATTTCAGTCCCAGCACTGGCTAGGTAGCCTGGAGCTGGTTGCTTTGTACCTTACAGGGCCGTTGTGATTGTCAAAAATGAGGACAACTCCCCCCTCACCTCTATGAACCTGGCTTGAAACTTCCAAGAGCTTACTGGATCAGACCAATGGCCCATCTATTCAGCATCCTGGTAAGCCTCAGTGGCCAGCAGGGTCATAGCTAGGGGGTGGTGAGGTGGGCCCCCGCCAAGGGGCACAAGTGAGGGGGGCGCAAAATCAGCTTTAAAATATGTCCATAAATATGTCTGTAAATAAACATATTGATTATTGCCTCATAAGAAAAGGTTTTTAATAGAGGGTGAATTG